GTAGTAGTAGTAGTAGCAGCAGCAGCAGGAGCAGGAGCAGGAGCAGGAGCAGGAGCAGGAGCAGGAGCAGGAGCAGGAGCAGTGGCAGTGGCAGTGGCAGTGGCAGTGGCAGTGGCAGTGGCAGTAGCAGCAGCAGTAGCAGTAGCAGTAGCAGTAGCAGTAGCAGTAGTAGGAAGTCATCGTCGTTTCCCTCAAGCCTCAAGTCCACACAGGGTTTGTGACGGCATCATGGGGATGCTACTCTGCGAGATGCCCGATAACATTTTCCAAAAACGGACAGATCTTGACTCTTGACAATTCCATGCTGAGGCCAGGAGCACCTGGCCAAACGCAGTTTGCCTCCTTTGCCAGGGCCCAGCCTAGCCCCGGACAGCTTGGAGCGCCTGGACTAAAGCAGGGAGCCGGAGCGTCCGATGTAGCATGTCGCAACATGTAGCACCATTGCTCTTCCGAGTTCTCCTCCGGGTTCGTACGGTGCCTTCCCTCCGTTTCCCCTGGAGTTTGCTTGGCACCACGCTCTGGCTCTTGTCTAGTGGTGTTGCACGCCATGTCACGCAAGAGTGATTCAAGCTCCCCGCAGACCCAGGAACGTAGCACGTGCTCTCTGCGAACACTACGGCTTTGCTCCCGAGATACACCGTTGGGTGCCGTGCCATCCTTCGGAGGCATGGAGGGTGCCGGTGACCGCGCTTCGAAGGCTTGCTGACATCTGCACATATCTGCACAGGTTACTCCGGTGGCGGACTATTGGCTTTCGCCGTTTGCGATAGGCAAGCATTCACGGGGTTACAAGCTGAGCCTGAGCGCAGAAAGCTCGTTCGCCTGTGCTGGCAGGCTATCATGGTTACAAGAATCTTACTGACCTGATGCATGCATACCGCTCCTGTGCTGCAAAACGCTGAAGCCATGCTGAGCTGTTATGCGCGACTTGCTCATACTCGCCCGTCGGCGATAGTTTTCGACTGTGCCATTCTATCATATTCCGCCCCCTCTCCATGACGCTTTCGGAGTCAACTGAGGCATACTCTACATGTCCGCTGGATGCGATTGGGCTCTGCCGTTCCGGCCAAAGGCCCGAAATGAATGCAAGCTTCAGACCGTCACAACTTGAGTTTGCCGAGCAAGCGGAGATGCGTTCGTGTGGAAACGGTGCATCCTGTGAAGGTGCTGCAGAACAGGAGAGCTGCAATGGAGCAAAATGGACCGAATGACTTTCCGACACGCTTGAAGCCACTCACGCCGATTCAAGACGAACCTGACCCAAGAGCGCCCACGTAATTATTCATGAAGAGCGAGTCTCGACGTGGTTTTAAGTGTTAATACGTTCTGCGCGCAAGACCGGCTTCAACAATGAACGCAGATGCTTCACCTGCCCAAAGATTGTGCTCGTGGCTCCCACAGCTCTCCATTGCCCAAGCGTTGGGTTTCGACCTCCGGCTGCGCAGCGGCAGGCGGGAAGTTAGGCAACGAGCCCAGAGACAGAGCTAAGTCGCATCAGCTGTTTTGGATCCCACCCCTTTTAGGGCGGGAAGCACCCGGTCTCGGTGACCGTGACCAGGGCCGGACACAGACTGATAAGCGAGAGGTTTACTGACATGTCTCTTGAGCAGTTGCTTCTCAAATCGAGCGTCTACATGGGGGAATGGTTGGTTTGGGTGTGTGTGTGTGTGTGTGAGAATGATTCCACCGATGTGCGTCTTGAGCGGGTGCTTCTCAAATCGAGCGTCACCTGGGGAATGGTGTGGTTACCATGATTTTTTGCTAATACCAAGCTAATGTGACCAGAATGTGACCTCATGGCATCGCGCACGTCCTCCAATACAGCTGTGTTCCAACAAAGCGTGATGTGATTGAGCTTCCCCGCTGTAAGGGGCCGGAAGTGCGATCACTGTTGAATTCCTAGAGCCGAAGTGCCAGATCGTGATGCATTGTGCCATGTGTCATTGAAGGTGCGCAGGAAAACTGCTAGTTGCAGGATGTTGCAGGTGCATGCAGGAGGAGTGCGAAGCTTGAAGCTGGAACGCTTGGCGGTTGGGCGTCCAGGCGCATGCCACGGCCCGGCCGAGCCCGGGCAGCGCCGTCTACTTTCGAGGACGACCTGAGTGAGAGGCCATAGCCACTGAAAACCCTGCGGTCGTGCGAGGATCCGCTCGAGGACTTCTTCGTGCCAACTGCAAGCTCTAGAGGCTTCAGAAAGCTGCTTTTGCAGTCGTATATCGCGTGTAGAGATGTGAGTTTAGTTGCGGAAATTTCATGCGAGTGAGTACGTGACGCCCCTTGTCCTTGGCATGGCAGGGGCCGCAGCCGCTGACCCGTTCGAGCCACGAGCTTCGGCCGAAGACCCTCCCAAGACCACCGTTACAGGCAGGAGCATGAGCTGCGTATAGCCGCGTGCTCAAGAGCGATTGCAGTTCCGTGCCGATCTCCGACTCAAGGCCCGCCGGCTGACAAACTCAGCTTCGAGGCATCATGCGGCGGTGAGCACGAGGTCCCAGCAAAGAACCGCTTCCTACACGCACTGCAGCGACCAGACAGCCCACAGACAGATCCATGCTGGCGTTGCGACATCTGAGGTCTGATCGCGTCATTGCCGTCACACCACCTCCTGGCCGACCACCGGAGGCTGCATGCAAATCGGGCAGCCTTTCACACCTATGCAGACCTGAACTATCCTGAACTGCTGTTTGGAACAGGATCGTGGTCCTCGAGTGCGGCGAACCGTACCTGGAGAGGACTCCAGCAGGCAGTCTGACATCTCGATCAGAAGCCGTGCGATATTAAGAAGCCAGCGCCGGCCAACTTCTGAATGCTGGAGCTGGTAGCTTGTAGATGCCTCCGACAGGCATACGCCGGTCGAGCCGGTTGAGGACCAATCAAACGAGGCCCTGGTCGGCTGCTTCCAGCCGTGGAGCAGACACAGTCCTGCAATGCAGATCTGAAAACTGCCGGATTCTCATGCACTGCTTACAGGTGCAACCTTTCTCCAACGAGGAGCCACAGGCCAACAGCACCTGCAGCACCTTGGCCTGAAATCTTGCGCAGAACTTGTCACCATGAGGTGCTTTTGTCGGCGGAAGCTTCGCCTCAGCCCTTGAGATCATGCCTGAAAGGCCAGCTCCCGTGCAAAAGCTGTCGTATGCAATACAGCCATTGCCTTGCGTGTTTCCCAGGGTCTGGCCGGACGCACATGTTGCTGCAGGCTCTTCCTCACCGTCTGGCCCGCGAGCGGAGGCATGAGAACGTAGGCAGCCAGAGTAACTTGCACAGGCCTGGACAGCTTTCGAGGTTCAAGAAGCATCCAGTGCAGACTTTGGTGTATGTTGATCAGTCGTCCGTTGTGCAGATGAACAGGAGCCTACACCACCCAACAGCAGGGGATCCACGAAGGCCTGCTCATCAACGAAATGCTGCGTCCATTTGGCATCGCAGAAGTCCTGCATGTGTTTCCCTTTCAGCCTACCTTTGTCTGCACGGATCAAGCGATGGTAAGGCTCGCTGGGAGCGGATGCAACACATGCGTGTGAAAACTTACCGAAGATTGGTGTGGCCTACATCCTCAACAACAGCAAGGATCTCGCTAGCCACCACTGGTTTCCCAATAGTCACCCGACCTCGCAGATCTCAGCAGATCTTGTCAGCATCATCGCCATGGACCGTCCGTTTGTGGCTCCTCAAGCCGCGTGAACTTATCTGCCCTTCCCCTGCATGTGAAATGTCCGACCCTCCTCATGACAGCGGCTGGCCAGAGTGGCTGGCTTGGGAAATGAATATCTCCAGCAGATCTGCACCTGGGTGAGGATGCCTAATGCCACGTTATACAAGCGACATCGCCTTTGTCCTTTGTTGAAGTTTTCGGATCGCTGAGTGAAGCGCGGAACTTCCGAGAGCCGAGGCCCTTTGGCTTCTCGGCGGCGTCCTGGTCTTGTGGATTAGCTCCGTGCTGACATACGGCTGCTGCACCTCTCTACAGACGGGGAGTTTCTATGAACCGATCACCATCAGCAGCATTGCTTGGAACCGGAAGAAGGAGTACGTAAGTCCTTGTCGGTCGGTTTGTGTGAGATTGTGCATGCCAAGCCATGATCGTGTGATTTTGTTTGTTGCCGTGTTGTGCTAGCTTTGCTTTCCATCCAGCCTTGTGGGAGAAGAGTCGTGGGGCAAGAACTGATGAGCTAGCAGCACCACACGGAGTCATAGAGCATCGCAAGGCAGCAGCTGTATCGTAAACATCAGAAAATGTGCGTTGCGTGCGTGGTGTTCAGCTGCAGCCATGCGCGTATGAGCCCTCAATGCGTCGCAGGCCGCAGGGAGCACAGCCACTGGCAGGAGTACGTCGATCGGAAGCAGAAAGCCAAAGGAACAAGACCCCGCCAAAGCTAGCAGCCAAGAGAAAACACGTCGAACTGACCGAAGAAAGTTGACGGTGCGCAGCGCAGAAGCAGAGAGCCAACAAGAGGTATTTACGGCTGTCACGGGCAGGAGTGCTTTGACTAGAACTGCGTCCAGAACGGAGCAAGCTCGAGCACAAGCCTTACCGAACTTCACTTGTTCCTCATTTGCTGCGAAACCGTTCGAAGTTCTACCAAAAACACGTGAGACAGGACTGGAGAATGCTGGTCAATTATGCGATGCTTTTGCCACTCCACTTTCTGCGGTCTATGGAGACAGCTTCTGGGGACAAGAATGTCTACTCCTCCACTGAGAAGGCATTCCTTGCAACACAGCGCAGGGTCTTTAATGATGCCGTCATTAACTTCTTGACTGTGCGTCGTAGCATGATGTTCGTCTCGGTGGTGTTTTGCGTGCTGGCCTTCTTCATCGAAGCCGCCGACGTTCCTGCTGCCATGATGACAAGAAAGCAATGGATCCACAAAAGCCGACTCTGGGACCAAAGCAATGTGTTTGTATTCCTTCTATTTCGGTTAAGCACTCTACGATTGCACTCAAGGGATCGAAATTGATGGCAACGTGGTTCGCTTCCCTCAGTTTGTGCTGATGACAAACAAGACGTGGAACACGAAAGACCCGGAGGCATGGTTTGCTTATAGCAAGCACCTGTACACCGGAATGTTTCCAGGCTTGCTTCAGCCTTGTTCGTGTTTGCGCAGAAGCAAATGGGTGTGCGACACGTTGAGATTCCAAGGTTTGCCAAGATCATCAGCCAAACGGCAATGATGGACATACTGCAGGCGGTGTTGGAAGTTGCATGCCAGGGAATAAGCCTCTCGGCGAATTCAATGATATCAGTGTTGATACAATAAGGTGCAAAAGTTTCCTTCATGCGCCCTGGTAAGTCGTTTAACTTTCCTAATGGTCCCGTGACACACGCAGTACATACAAAGGCTGCTACTTGCTCTGGTGGTCGCTGAGAAAGTGGTGCGCTGGCCAGCACAGAGTTTAAGATTTGGGCTCAGGGTTTGGAGGACGATGCCCGACACTAAAAGTTCGAATCTGGAGAGCATTCCTCACAACAAGATCCCCTGCTCCTCCGCCCAGTACATGTGGGTGTACGATGGGGAACAAGATGTCCTTACAAGGAGCAACTCTGCACAACTTTGCATGTAACCCTGTCTTTCTGTGTTTCTGCATCAACGCTGGTTTAGTTAGTCGTCTTTGGTGTCGTCAGATGATGACAAATGAGTCGGGCTGGCCTTCACAGTGAAAGCTTGCGCACCAGACCGCTCAACCGGGAAGGCCAGCTCCTTGGGCTCACATTCTCGTGCCATCTCGTGCCACCGGCTCCCAGGTCACATTTCAATCGGTCACACCGAGGGGTGCTTACCGGCTGGGCGTTCAGCCTGGTTGCGCCCTTCTTGGTTTCTGGGACAGGGACAGATTTGGAAGTTTTTGTTCTGAATGGCTTATGTTGCTACCGCTAGTGGAGTGAACTAGTGGGGCATACATGGCAGGTCGTAGCAAAATGTGCTGCAGGCAACTGTGATTCCTACACGCCTGTTTGTGGACTGGACAGTCCTGGACCCTGTGGTGCACACCTTTGCCTCCGAGTTGTCGCAGCACATGGGATACTCGGCTGCAAATGCGTTTACACAGGCACCTAGGCTAGTTTCTGCTAGACACCAAATTCACGCGGCTTTTGCTAGCAAAGCTCCTGGCTGCGACGAAGGCAACCACACCGAAGACTTGGCATCCACCGTCAATCAGGCTTGCTTGCAGCTGATACATATGGAAGCGCAAGGGACGGTGGAGAACGCAGAGAGCTTCGCAATGAAGACTTGCTCCACGCTGAAGATGACCCCCAATCGACACTTGAAGTGCTGCTCCTTCATCAAGCTCGTGGACTTCGACTTCAGGCGCGCAAGAGAGAACCAACCTTCACAGTTTGACAAAGATTCTCTCGTCTGCGAGGCCGATCCATTCAACCTGTGACAAGGTTGAGGATTACTTGAAGCAGCCAGATCGGTTCCACAAGCAGGCGATCGAGCAGAGCACCGAACTGTGCCGGACAACGGTGATGCCAAACCTTAAAGGCACCATTGAGCTCGGCTTCGACACCAGGTTTGAACAGTAAGGACTCTCTGCATTGGCTTTTTTGTGCTTACTCTATCCAATATCCGATCGGGCCGACAAGGAAAATGCACTCCAAGTGGCAGCTTCCGCTGGGCCTATTGCTCAAAGGATGAAGCAAAGCGTGTCCATGGGCATGGGCCTCGTGAACGGGCCCCTTGGCCAGTCCGTGAGGTGTTCCGCAAAGCGACAAGAGGCCTGCAGCCCCCGGACCCAGCAGGCATGCGGCACGCTGTGCTGCCACGGCATGCCCATGTAGTGTCACCGACTGCTTTTGCCCGCTAGTCCATTCCATGGCCAGCTCGCGAGGCTTCGTGGCTTCAACACCATCATGCCTGCTGCGCTGGCGCTCGCACCTGCACTCTTGCGAGGAGCACTGAAGGCTGGAAACCGTCCCAACAAAGCAAGTCAGCTAGTTAAGCCGGACAACGAGGAAGAGCCATCTTCCCTCTATCCCTGAAGGTGAAGGTGACTGCACCTCAGTCCACAATTCCAGGTTCCGTGGCGATGTGCTTGGCAGGTGCATGATGCGGTTTTGCACTAGCTCGTTACCTGAGTGGCGACAATAGAAGTTAGAACATGCAGACGTTTGTTCTTGAGCCTCCGATGTCAGAGCAGTAGCAAACGGTATCACCCAGGAATGTTTGTGGTCGTGTTACCACTACTGTACTGTCCGATGACATGGGGGATGTACCACATCTTCTTCCAGCTGCTTGGGGATTTCTGGATGCTATTGGGCCTGCTCGTCATGGCATTCGGTCCGATGGTGTGCCCCTGCTCAACAGACTTGTCCTGCGCAGGTAGGCATCAATGTGTAGTTAATTAGATCACAGGCATCTGGCGTGAATCTCTTGATGTACCGTGATGACTTCTGGCAGATAGAATTCGTAGATCCCTTGACTGGTGCGCAAGGTACTTGGCTCTTGGGAGCTACTACACAATTACGCGACCCCTCACAGATAAGGCTGTTGCACAGGTCATGGCAGCTTGGCAAACTCATCGTGCACAGATCCCCCCGCCACAGTCAGTGTATATTTTGCAGCGGCAGGGATAGCCAAGGTCAGCATGAATCGGGCGTCAACGATCCTGGCGATTATCGGGTATGTGTTCATCTGCACCTTTGCATGGAAGCGCTACAAGCTGACGATAGGTGAAGAGGAATCCGAGGATGATGCCAGTGTGGAACGGGATGCTTACAAGTACATTGCAGAACAGGTTTCCGTGCTTCAACCGAGCTTTTGGATCAAACTTGCGGGGGTGGCTATGGCCAAGTATTTCTTCACGACTTTGGCAGGAGTCGACTGGATGATGGTAGAGATCGGGAAACAGCGACGGTATGAGATCCTGATGGAGATCTCTCAGAAAATCAAAGCTCTGGAGACCAGTGGAACTGCCGTGCGCTACCCACAAGGTTTGAAGACTGAAGTGGAAAGGCAGGAAAACTTACAGGCTGCTGAGGAACGGTTGCTTCGGTTAGATTGTGTTTTCTACATTCTTTATGACGAGGTGCCAGTACATGTTGTCGAGGAAGAGGATATTAATCCTCATATGCCATCCATGCGCAGACGCACGACAGTTCTCGCTCCCGCAGTCAGTCGGATATTTGAAGAAGTTGAAATGCAGGACGTGGAGCAAAACAGCAAGAACGATGAGACTACGTCGGGAGCAGGAGTGCCCACACCGCTTCCGTCCCAGATCGAGTTCTCGGAAAGCCAGCCGCGAATGCCCCAGCCACAAGACGTGGCAGATGCTCGTGGCGAGCCTCCGCGGCCGAGCACCCTGGACAATGCCTGGTCGTTTTTCTTCGGCTTGCGCGTTCCGAATCAGTCACGCCCTCAAGCACGCAGTCTAGCAGCACCACGACCAGCACAGGGGTGGCCACCGCCGCCAACCTCCACTGTCCCCGGCTCCCAAAGTTGGAGACCGCAGACGCCATTGGCTTCGGACTGGGCGCAGGGAGTCCAGTATCATCCGACACCACATTTCGCAGCAAACAGTGTCTTGCCAGCACAGTGGCAGGCCTCACTCGGCCCTCCGAGTGGGTCTTGGTCCCGCCACACAGTGGCCCCAGGGCAGCACATGCGCCCGCAGTTTTAGACAGAGTGGCGACGCATTGTGGCCGGCTTGCTATTTCTGCGAAATCTTGATGTCGAAGACATGAAACCGTGTGATCAGGGCTCGGTTTGGATTCAGGCTGACAGGGATCTACTTGCAGAACAGTGCTTTTTGGTTTGCTACAGTAGCTGAGCTTTGACAGGATCTGAGCCTGCGTTGTCTGGCAATCGAAACATAGACGGGATGCAACGCAAGGGTACAGTCGGGGACTGGGCTTTCCAAGCGAGTCCCAACACCTCACAGCCACATCTGCACTTCCTTCCGTTCTGTTCTGATGCCACTGTTTGAGAAGTTCCCGCAGGAGGCGCAACCCAAAAGGCCACTTGGCTAAATGCTTTAGGACCTTAGTAACGAGAGACACTGGCTGCAGGAACAGGCAATTCAGAACTGGACATCCAAATTTTGGCCTCGGCAATGTCTGGGATTGTCACAGATGTTGTGCGGCTGACCAAGCCAAGGTCATGTTTGAAGCAGGCACGGCGTTCTGACTAAACTTCTCTGAACATCCCGGACAGAGCTGCTAGTGCGCCGACAGCAAGTCGGGCACAAACTCAGAGTGCCGCAATGTGTAATGCATGCTCTTGAACTTGGCTGAAGGCTAGTACACCTGCATGCATAGATTTAGATGGCATATATGTGCGGGCAGTCGCCGTCGACAACGTCAAGTCCTGCGCCTGGTCCTGTACCTCAGGAGGCCGATCACTGAAGCGCCTTGCATGCAAGGGCAGTGCAGTTCTTGATCGTCATACATATGCAGGCAAAGGAGGCCATGCCGTCGTGGCTAGAAGGCTCTTCGCAACAGCCGGCCCCGAACTTAGTAAAATTTTCGCTAGCGAGGCTCCCAATTCGCCCTTCGTGCCCCTTCTGGACAGAAGCAGTTTTGAGACATGTTGAGGCCCACGCGCCCGCCGAGCCCAGCCAGACACCCCACACCCCCCTCCAGGCCGGATTGAGGGGGCAGTCCTGCTGCCTTGTGTGGAGTTCTTTAATGGTACAGTGCTATTATAGGCTTATCGTGATGGCACGATGAAATACAGGAAGATCCGGAGCGACCGGGACGAGGTGAGACAGAGCAGGCCGAGAGTGCAAGTGAAGAGATAATGAGGTGGCGGGCATGGCACACGCTTTCTTGAACTCTGACAGGCAGAAGCAGCAGTCACCGAGCCAGCCACAGCGCTCGCAGAACCAGAGGCAAGACGAGAGAGGTATTGCAGCTGTGCTTTCGGGGTGGTGTGGTGGAGTGTTCAGCTCTGGGGTGACTGCACGTAACCGTAGCACCGAAAAACTGTGGCAGCAGCAGCATGTCATGTGACAATGCGCAGTGCGATCACATCACACGGGCAGAATGAACAAGAGTTGCTGCTTTCGGAGTGTGGACTGGGTGTGGAGTTTCGGTTTTCTGTAGCTCGACATGCTGACGCTGCTTCCCGAATGCGATCGCTATGTCTTGTACTGCGTAACTGTGTAGTATGCGCGATCGTGCTTCACGGAGGCTGCAGCGGAAGAGCTGCCCACCACATATGTGGAGGTGCTCCATCTCGCAAAGCAACACTCTCTGGCTGACATGCGATACAACTTCTGCAACACTAAATCAGGCGGCAAGATCGGAACCTATGAAGCCCTGCCTGCGTGCGAGTGTGTGAGTCGAAAACAGGCGGTTCATACCTTGATTAAAAAATCCTGACAGGACGACAATCAAATCGCGCCCTTTGAAGAAGAGCCCCTTGAGAGTGAGGAGGCAGGGACCGTGAGCGAGTTATGTGTTTGCTATCTGGTGCTGGCTTTTGCTTTGCAGCTGCTACTGCCACTTTCAACCCCGAAGCTTCAGTCGCAAGATAATGTCCAAACAGGTGACAGCTAGATTGGGCCAGTAAGTCAGCCCACAAACCATGAGCAATTGCCCATGGATGCCCAACGCTGCACACTGGGTCCTGGCACCCCGCACAAGTTCGGCAGCAAGTGCATCTACAGTACTTGCCGGAGACGTGCCGAAATGCCCATGGCTTCCACACGCACGAGCCGCAAAATGAGTCACGCCGTCAGTGCCGCACTCGCTTGCAATCCTCGTGTGCCTTGTCATTCCTGCACGTCAGATGCAGGAAGTGCAGCCCAACGAGCCCCTGGGTTCAATTGGTGTATCTGGAAGAACAACGGGAATCAAGACACGAAGGCTTTTGGTGCGACGATGTCATGCAAGACTTGGCCATACTGATGTTAGGCTAGTTAGGCTGCATTTCTTGCTTTGCCTATGATTCAATTGTGCTTCTGAAACCGAGGTTTTCCTCGAAGCCAGTCGAGGCTAGTGACTTCCAGGGTGGTCAACTCACACTTGATCTGTACTGGAATGCCATAGGTCCCGTGCAGCTTCGGATTCTGCTGAGGGCTAGTACACCTGCATGCATAGATGGCATATCTGCCGGCAGTCGCCGTCGCCAACGCCAAGTCCTGCGCCTGGTCCTGCACCTCAGGAGGCCGATCTCTGAATCCTATGCCTTGCATGCAAGGGCAGTGCAGTTCTTGATCGTCATACATATGCAGGCAAAGGAGGCCATGCCGTCGTGGCTAGAAGGCTCTTCGCAACAGCCGGCCTCGAACTTAGTAAGATTTCCGCTAGCGAGGCTCCCAATTCACCCTTCGTGCCCCTTCTGGACAGAAGCAGTTTTGAGACATGTTGAGGCCCACGCGCCCGCCGAGCCCAGCCAGACACCCCACACCCCCCTCCAGGCCGGATTGAGGGGGCAGTCCTGCTGCCTTGTGTCGAGTTCTTTACTGGTACAGTGCCTGATGGCACGATGAAATACAGGAAGATCCGGAGCGACCGGGACGAGGTGAGACGGAGCAGGCCGAGAGTGCAAGTGAAGAGATAATGAGGTGGCGGGCATGGCACACGCTTTCTTGAACTCTGACAGGCAGAAGCAGCAGTCACCGAGCCAGCCACAGCACTCGCAGAACCAGAGGCAAGACGAGAGAGGTATTGCAGCTCCGCTTCCGGGGTGGGTGTACTCCGCGCAGCCGTACCAACACCGAAGAGAGTGGCCGCATGCTGCGTAACACCTTCCGGAACGAGAGTTGCAGTGGTTGCTCTTGTCTGTAACTGTAGAGTTCATGCCTCTACAGACGTCGGGGTGTGCACGCCGCCGCTAGCTGCTGGACAAAGAAAGTGGCCTGGCGCTTGCATTGGGACGCGCAGGTACCGCTAACCCGGCTTGAAACCAGTAAGCCGAGAACCCTATTGTCATAATGATGCCAATCACGAATGGGCTTGGCATTGTCGACATCACGACCTATTGACCTAATCTTGATGTCTTGGTCATGCAAAATTCTTAGTGACATCGTCCTCACCGCAAGGCTGATCATGAAGTGGTCAAGGTTATGTACGCCTGTTTGCACGTGTACCTGGTGTCGTAGATACATACACATCACAAGTACTTGCTCATAGGGCTGTTCGACTTGTGTTCTTATACACGTACCTTTGCGGTGCACGTGCACGTTCGTCAACTTCCACAAATGTCACATACCTACGACGTCTTAACGATTGGTGGGGCCAAAGTTCCACCTTCTCGGAGGCCCGGAGAGAGGCCGAGGCTCCAAGAGAACCGGCCGAGGAGGCTTTGGGATGCTTCAGAAATTCAAGGTCGTCTAGACTTCGGTTTGCAGGGTCCTGCTATGGCGTGGTGCTGATGAAGGGGTCGACGAGCTGTCGCAGCTGCGATGACATTGCTGATATTGTATAGGAGACTGGTAGGAGGCCAGAAGAGTCATTGGCCACAGTACCCATGGCCTCCAAGGATTTGGCTGCCAGGGCTCTCATCAAAATTACCCTCGAGTCAGGGAGGGATTGGTTTGCAGGTCGCCGTGAGATTTCGGATCTCCGGGATGAGAGACAGTCGAAGTGGAGTCGAGATCCAATTGAAGGGATCAGAATCCTGTTGCTTTGATACTTAGTTTTGGTTTCAAGTTCGGCAACATGTGGCAGGACGATGCCCAGATCAAAGACGATTTGGCACAGAATCTTCGGCTCACATATGATAAGCACAGACCGTCCTTGGAATTTCAACCCAAGCTCGGTCTTTCAAAGCGAAGTAGTCTACGCACAGATCGTACCACGATATTGAGACTATGGGTGGGCGTTGCAGACCGTCCGCACATCACAGGGAGACAACGCACATCTTGTGCTGAAGGGCAGCCATGATTGTGTCCTGAGAAAACACGACTCTTTGACCTGTTGATGGGCCGCCAGTACAATCCCCAAACTCACCGACCCAATCGCGTCACAAAGAACAACTGCTCCTCGGCTTCCTGTCCAGTTCTCAGGAATCGTGAGCCGGTGCCCCTGAAGCACGAAGATGGTCAGTCAGTGGAGCGCGCCACTGTCGCCGCTGGGCTTACACTTGTCCGAGACTTGCTTCAAGCATCATCATGTAGCATGTATTGTGCATCTCTCTAGGCGTGTTGGAATACATGGCATTTCTCTCGAGCCCGACAGAGAAAGACCGGTACAGGTAGGATAGCATGTAGGAAGTAATCGAACTCGATCGTTTGCCACAGGCTGCTGCAGAAGAGCTGCCAGCCACATCCGTGGAGGCAGCAGAAACCAAGCCGCGGCATCGTCGCAGCAGGAAACAGCCAGACTGTTCTGTGCACTGCCGACCTGAGAGGACGACAGTCGAGTCGCGCCCTTTCGCGAAAATCCGCTCGAGAGTCAAAGTCAGGAGGCTGGGACTTTGCGGGGCGGATGGCAGAGTCGCTCGAGTCTCGTGAATCTCATTGACTCATGCTTCCAGCGCATCGTTCAAGATGGGAAGGAAGCGTGGATACACCATGGAGTTGTGGCACCACTGTCCATACCACGCAACACATGGGAACCAAACCCCCAGTGCAGCTTTTTCCAGAACCGGGCCCAAAAAGCCCATGGCGTCCCTACGGCCGGCAGCGGTGCCGGCTGCGCCGCCAGCTTCGGCACTGCAGCGCGCTGCGGCAAA